TATGTGTGATTGAACAGAGTGAGTTCAGTGCTACTGACCTTGTTGTTATTTCTGAAAATGACCTTTGAGTTTGCTTTTAAAAACTCCACCACATCTTGGGATTCACTTTGCTTAGCATTATCTTATATAGTCATATGTACATAGTTATTGAGCTATTCTGCTCATCTGCTAGGATTATCTTAGACGTATACTACTTACTAGAAATGACCGAAACCATGGGACCTATGTTTCTTTGGGTTTAAGCAAGATGTACCCCAAGACATGGGCATAAACAGTTTTTCTTTGTTGTTGTTGTTTATAATGTACTATGTGATTTCTTTTTTTTTCCTGTATTTTCCCCTATTGTTTATCCCCTATTTTCACTGCATTTGATTTTGGTACCCTGGGTATTGTATATACATTTATCTGAATTAGGGAAGGGAAGGGGAACAATAAAATGGTGATACAAAGGACAAAGGGGGGAACCAATGCAACAATGATACTCACAAGAAAATATGTTGTAAATGATCTATACAACTGAGGGGTAGGAGGGAAGGAAAAAGGGAGACAAATGAGGGAGAGGGTAACAAGTTCAACAAGAAATGTACTCACTACCTTACTTATATAACTATAATCCCTCTATCCATCACCTTGACAATAAAATTAAAAAATAAAAAAAAAGACTCCACTGCGTAGCAAGAAGAGAACAGCCATACTTCCATGACATAAAGGAGTTGACATTTTCTTAAAGGAAAAGCAGACCTGTGAGTAGCAGACAGAGGTATTATGAAGCTGTTCCTTTTTTTCCCCCAGCTCTTAATTATTCAGTTACATGATTGCACATTTCCCTGTGTGTAGGGCATCTGTAGCTCTGTGAAGCCCCTCTCTGGAATTAGCTTCTGAGAGTTGATGAGGGAATTTCCATCCAAAAGTACCACCTTTGGACTCATTAAAGGGTGGGCTTCCTATAGTTAGTTTGTACTAAAGAAATTTTCCATTTTGCAAAGGCAGTATAAATTTTACATATCATTTTAATACCAAGGTAGGTCAATCAAACTATAATTGGCTCCAATTAGCACTCCCATGAGCTGTAAGATTCTTTACCTTTTCATAGACTGTACTTAAAAAGAAAATGCTATTTACTATCACTGAAGTCATAAAAACAAATGTCCACTGTAAATGATGAGGGACAGGGGGAATGAGTCGCAGAATGCATGAGCATGTACTGCAGTGCATCAGGCTATTTTGCTGGGACTACAGAGCACACAGATTACTTGTTAGAGAGCTACACAAGCAGCTCAGCTATGAAACCTGTCATCCTTTAGGTAACTAATATGAAGATGACTTCATAATATATGTTAAGGCATCTTCTAAACTCTTGATTGTCTTTTAATAAAATAATATCATCTTTACAATAAAATAAGGTATCCAAAAATAAAAAGTAGACTTTTCTATCTTAAATATTACTGATGCCATTTGGGCTTCTCTTTCTGTCTCTTCAACCACCAACAAGTACACATACAAACAAGCTGTGGGTACGGGCCTTGTACATTGGGTCTGTGACTTCAGAGACTTCGTTGGGTATCATAAAGCATCATGGTCTCCATCCACCTAGTATTAGCTCTCATTTACTGTGATGAAAATGAATACTTCTTTCTTTAGTACTCTCAGCTTAGGAGAAGGAAGTGCTCAGGAAATGTCTGCAGTCACTTTGCTGGTCATCCTTGGCCACCTCAGATGGACGTTCCATCTTGAATGGCATTGAGTACAGCTCCTGTTGGTACTCTAGAGTTGTCAACTCTAGAGTAAAAAATGAAGAACAACTGGGTGCCGGTGGCTCATGCCTATAATCCTAGCTACTCAGGAAGCAGAGATCTGAGGATCACAGTTCAAAGCCAGCCCAAGCAGGAAAGTCTGTGAGACTCATCAGCAATTAATCAGTAGAAAACTGAAGTAATGCTGTGGCTCAAGTGGTAGAGCGCTAGCCTTCAGCTGAAGAACTGAGAAACAGTGCCCCGGCCAAGTTCAGGCCCCATGACTGACCAAAAAAAAAGTGAAGAGCAATCTAACCAGGTGATCAGAATAGGGAAGTTCATTAAATAAAATATTCACGCTAGTCATCTGTGGCTCATTTAATCCTAGCTACTCAGAAGTCTGAGATCTGAGAATCACAGTTTAAAGCCAGCCTGGGAAGGAAAGTTCATAAGACTCTTATCTCCAATTAAATATGAAATAATCTGGAAGTGGAGCTGTAGCTCCACTGTAGTAGACCTACAGCCAGACCTTTCTCTCATTTCTGTTCTTCTTAACAATAGCTCTCTAAGTAGAAAGGATTTTTAGGTGTTTATAAGTGACACAAAGAGACCTACTATATAGGTTTTTCTTGAATCCACAGCCACAATTTACAACTCAGCTTGGAAGGGCAAAACACTAAAGTGTTTGGGGTACCAACTGATGCCTCGTGTTTTCTTCAATGAACTTCTTATTCCTAATAATCACTGACCATTTATTCCTCTGAACGTTTCAGAATCCTCAAATTCTGCTTTGATTTAGATTGAGTGCACACCGAATATCAGACTTTAGCTAAGGTACTGTCATCTACTGCCACCAGAACAAAACTCTCAACCATTGGTGATAAGAGTCTAGAATGACCTTAAGCAAGTCTTCACACCATTTAAAATAACCCTTCTTTTTAAAGTAGGTCAGACTTCAAGTTAGCACTACAGGAAAGGATCCAGATTACTTTTTTATAATTTTGTTTAACTACATTTTTGTTTGACAGAATCTCTTCTGGAAAATGTCTGGGCATAGGATTAAATGTCCTTCATAAAAGAATTTTATAATAAAGCTAGAAACAAGCCCTTCAGCATCAGTAGTATGTATATTAATGAATCTCCTGGTAAATACCAGTGACATGTTTCCTTTTAATTTGACTGGTTTCATATTGGATGTTTTACTGTAACTTTTTAAGAGCCTGAGTTTTTAAATGAAACAATAATCACTGATTTTTTTTGTTTGGGCATTATTGTGGTTTTGTAACTTCTTCAGAAATATTCTACAATAACCCACCCCTTTGTACCAATCTTACAACTGAATGATTTAAAATCTGGTCCTGCTTTGGGCTTCTCAAGTACAGGCTGGGATATAGTTCCACATCCCATGTTATGTGCTTATTGCTGCACATTTTGTCTCTAAATCATTCATCTTCCTTTGGAAATTTTATCTAAAGTTAGCACCATACCTAGTATATTACAATTATTCCATTGTTTGTAGCTATGATCACTTGTGATAATTTCCTATTATCATTATAATCAACTGCTACAAATTTATTGACTAAAATAATAAATACATTAGGGTCAGTTAGTGAATTTTAGATATAACATTTATTTATTATTACATAGTTATATAGATCAGAAGTGACTGGCACGGGTCCTGAGGAACTAACAGACAAACAAGATGTTGCGAATTGGCTTTTGAAGCACTGGAAAATAACATTTACCTACCCATCACAGCTTCTAGAAGCTCTTCACATTCTCTGCCTTTCAGCTACCACCAAGCAAGACAGCAGTCAGACTTCTGCCTTTGCAGTCACCTCTCTGTCTCTAATCTTTCCGTCTCCATTGTATCCTTAGGAGGACTCTGATGATTATATCTAACCCATCCAGATTCACAGCAAGGCATTTCATCATCTCAGTGTGATCCCTTGGCCATCTACGTTACTGATGCCCTGTTGCATTAACTAATTTCTACAGATTGTGACTTAGAGGAATACACTTTATTATCTTAACAACTGTGGAGATCCTAAGTCTAAAATTGGTTTCCGTAGCAAAAATGAAGAGGGTCAGTCTGTATTTCTTCTAAGAGTGATGCCCAGGGGAAAGAGCTCTGTCCCTCAGAGTTCTGGCTTCTAGAGGCCACAATGAAGACTTCACACATAGCTCTTCCTCAGTCTCCAAACCAACAGCATGACATCTTGATGTATCACTCTCTGCCTCTCTTGCTTCTCTCAGCCCATTGCCTTCTCTCTGTGGCCTTCTTGATTCTCTTATAAGGCTCCCGGAAAGTATTACAGTTGGATCACTCAGATAATCCAGGACCACCTTACCACAGGTTATCTTTGAGATACATCTATTGCAATCCCAGATTGCAATTCTAAACTCACATGTAGCACATACTTCTGCAGTAAGCTACTGGTTGAGATGAGGTCTTGTGAATTTTTGGTATGAATTGACCTTGAACCATGAAGTTTCCAATCTCCATCTCCAAAACAGATATTATTACAGGTGTGAGCTTCCATGGCTGACTTCACTATCCTTATCTCAATCGTATCTATAGCTGCTTTCTATCTGTCAGTGGCATATTTCTAGGCTTCACAATTAGGTGTGGAATTCTGAGGGTTGTTATTCTGCCAACTACACTAATAGTAAGCCCATGCGTTCTCACAAACGTTTAGTTAAATGTTCCAGTTATTAACTTCATATTTACTTTCTTCTCTTTTAGGTCTTTTTTTCCTATAAAAAAAACAATACCAGCTCTCCTGCCTCTGAATTTCACTGCAGCTCCTATGCAAACCTCACATACTATCTCATTATGACTTTTACATTTATGTTACATTCTCCCCAAAAGAAATATATTTTACCATTGGAGTTAGGACTCAAATGTACTTGAAGTAGATATTTATTCATGTTTTCCAAAAGTCTTTTGGCAAGTTTCACAGTTATTAACCAATTCAATAAGATTGGTGTAAAATAATTGTGTAAAATAATGCAATTATGTAAAAAATAGAGCAAAAAAAAGAAGGAAGGAATAAAGTGGAGAGGAAATAGAATGGTTTCCAGTTCACCAGTGACCTTCCTAACAGTAAATAATGCTGTCAGGTCATTTCCTCCCTAACTCTGTCTCTATACAACTGGGAACAAGACATTCAGCATTATTTAAACTGAAGATAACTTTATATATTGCCAACCTGCAATGGAAAACTGTTTAATCATGGACTTTATTTCTCTCCAATGTTTTGTTAGAACTATCATATGCTTGGATCTTCAATGAGTACCCAACATTTGTTGAAGAAGATAGCCGGAGATTTGTCTCTCAAGAGACGGGACACCTCTACATAGCTAAGGTGGAGCCATCTGATGTGGGGAATTACACATGTGTGGTGACAAGTACAGTGACCAACGCCAAAGTCCTGGGCTCCCCAACACCATTGGTGCTACGGGCTGATGGTAGGGCATGTTTGAAATGTTCTCATGGGACTGGAATGCCCATGATGTCACTTGTTCTAATTTTTGCTAGCCTCGGGATGGTAGAACTCTGAATCACTAAGAAAGAAAACATTACAGAGAGAGAGAGAGAGAGAGAGAGAGAGAGAGAGAGATTTGTTTCATCAATACCATGATAGGTGTTTAAAACGAGTCTATGTGCTGCAGTGAAGCAGATTTCTCACCCTGAGTCATTGAGCCATTTGAACTAAACGATGTCTGAGAAGCATAATGGTGTGGTCAAAGCATCAGAACACCCCTTTCCAGTCAGTTATAATTGAATTTGACCATTCCTATTTATTAAGTCACTCTTTTATGGCTCCAGGGAGCCATTTAATAAGTGTGAGATTGGTGCCTTTGCTATCAGCGTCCCATTGAGTGAATTCCCTGCTGTAGCTTTGTTGCTTAGGAAATTTCAGGGAGTCATAATACATTGTGTATTTCGGTTTGACTACAAATGTCCAAATTGAATACAAGATCTCAAGAGCTTCCCATTTTACATGAAAGACAGAGTAGTTTTCTTGGAAATGTTGTGCATGAAAGAGCTTACAATTACCAATGAATCGTTGAATACAAACTCCTTAAATGTTTACTAATGTTGCATGCTTGCTGCAGGTTAGTATGTAAGTCCAATAAGGGCAGTGGACTCAAAAATGAAGCAAAAGAATTTGTATTTAAGAGAAGCTGATTCCAGAGGAAACACTGACAGTGTCAACTTTGTATTATGGATTTCTCAGGGGTAATGGGTGAATATGAACCCAAAATAGAAGTTCAGTTTCCCGAAGCTCTTCCTGCAGCTAAAGGTTCCACGGTGAAATTGGAATGTTTTGCCCTAGGAAAGTAAGTTTTATAACATTCTCTTCTATTTGCTGTAATTTTAGGTTGTTGTAAGAGACTTCTTTCTTTTTTTAAATGTAATTTCAATTATAATCCAAGTGTAGAAAAATGTAGTTTGAAATTTTAAAAGGAATTTGGAATATATAACTATGCCTGCCCTTATTCATAAGCTAAATTGATATTTTCTGTATGTTTTCATCTTCATTGATTGCATTTTAATAAGGCCAATAATGTATTAGACCTTTTTTATTTTTTCCCATAAATCATGAATTTACTCAAGAAAATGTGCAGTTTATTTCATTAAATTACCAATTTAATGACTTCAACATGGCTGGCAATAGTGGCATGCCTATAATCCCAGCACTCTGGCTATGTAGCGGATACAGGGGCAGAAAGTTTAAGAGTGCTATCTTAAAAATAAAAATAAAGCCGGGTGCCTGTGGCTCATGCTTGTAATCCTAGCTACTCAGGAGGCTGAGATCTGAGGATTGCGGTTCAAAGCCAGCCCGGGCAAGAAAGCTTGTGAAACTCTTATCTCCAATAAACTACCACAAAACCGGAAGTGGCACTGTAGCTCAAGTGGTAGAGCACTAGCCTTGAGCTGAAGAGCTGAGGGAGAGCGCTCAGGTCCAGAGTTCAAGCCCCACAACTGACAAAAAGTAAATAAATAAATAAAAATAAAAAGGTAAGCCATTAGATTACATGTAATTCACAATTATAGGTATTCTGCCTTTTCCTTCCTTCCTTCCTTCCTTCCTTCCTTCCTTCCTTCCTTCCTTCCTTCCTTCCTTCCTTCCTCTCTCTCTCTCTTTCTTTCTCTCTCTCTTTCTTTCTTTCTTTTTTTCTTTCTTTCCTTCTTTCTTTCTTGAGTGTGTGCCAGATCTGGGGCTTGAATTCAGGGCCTGAAAGTTGTCCCTGGGCTTTTGGTGGTTAACTGGAGATAAGAGTCTCAGGGGCAGAGTTTCCTGCCTGGACTGGCTTCAAGACCTGATCCTCATATCCCAGCCTCTTGAATAGCTAGGATTACAGGGGTGAGCCACTGGTGCCAGCCTAGTATTCTGTATTTTTAACCTGTGCCTTTTGTTTTGACTTAAGACAGGCTTTTTTGTGTGTTGTTGTTGTTGTTCTTGAATCCAAAATGCTTTTTGTGGAGTAGCAAACTATTTGAAAATTTTCTTTTTAGCCCTGTACCTAAGATTAATTGGAGAAGGAGTGATGGAATGCCATTTCCCAATAAAATTAAATTGAGGAAGTTCAATGGTGTGCTTGAAATCCCCAATTTCCAACAGGAAGATGCAGGTTCCTACGAATGTATTGCTGAGAATTCAAGAGGAAAAAATGTGGCCAGGGGGCGCCTCACTTACTATGGTGAGCATTTGCTTTGGACAAGTTGGACTTGCAGATTTGACCCCTCTGTTAAGTGCTGTTTATTGGAGGCTAGGAGATTACATCATCATCTTAATATTTAACTTCATTGTTCCGAATTTTATTCTTATTTTGTTAAATAGGGATAAACATTTATTACAGAAGAAAGTCAATATAAAGAAATGTTTGGAAATATGTGTCTTATTTAAAAAAAGATTTAATTAATTGATTTAGTTCTTTATTTCATTCCATATTACAAATATTGGAGCTTGGATTCAGAGCTTGGGCACTGTCCCTTAGCTTTTTCACTCAATGTTCGTTCTCTACAGCATAAGCCACATCTCAACTGCTGGCTTTTTGCTTGGTCTCACTGACTGTCCTGCCTGGGTTGGATTCGACTCCTCAGATCTCAGCCTTCTGAGTGCTTAGTATTACAGGAGTGAACCAACTGCATATGGCTTAAAATGATTTCAATGATAGTGAAATACTATATTTCATTAAGAATTAACTTTGAGGCTGGGAATGTGGCTTACTGGTAGAGTGCTTGTCTAGCATGCATGAAGTCCTAGGTTCAATTCCTCAGTACCACATAAACAGAAAAAGCCAGAAGTGGTGCTGTGGCACTAACCTTGAGCACAGACAGGCTCAAGAACAGTACCCTGACCCTGAGTTCAAGCACCAGATCAGCCAAAAAAAAATCTTTGATACATTTAAGTACATAGAGAGAAAGATCTGTTTTCTATCTTCCCTCTGTTCTAGAAAAGGTGATTTTTTCTTTGTTATTTTTATTAAAAAGAAAAATGTAGTAGGAAAAATAATGATCACTTTATTATTCAAACCAGATAAACTCAGGATCTTAGTGAGTAAATCAGTATAGTTCTATCACTTCCAATAAATGCATCTGTACTCTGCCTTTAATTTATAATCACATTTATTTTATGTGCTTTTGGTAAGGAAAAATAATAATATTACCTTTATTTGGAGTCTGCTTTTAGGAAAATTAAATTATCTTTTTCTTGTCAAAATCTTTTCTGTAGTTCCTTTTATGTAGAGAAAAGGAAACCACAGGTTTTTGATGAATTACAAAGTCTCACTATATGATTTTAAAACATAAATCTGTAAAATATATGAAAATGTAAGCTCAGTGAATATATATTTTAGTCTAATCATTAGTAACATTATAGAACTTCTGGGAATTTGCAAATTTTGTAAAAAAAATTGCATTATAGAATGTGTATTTTAGAAACTGGAAATGAAATTGTTTGCAATATAAACTTGTATAGTATACATAAATGTTGTTGGGAAGTGTTAAACTCGATGTCTGCAAATAATTCCCTTTGTCAGTATTAATACTTGTGATATTGCTAAGATTCCAATATCTGAAAGGAATAAGATGGAGGCATGGTTTAGCAGCGCAAATTCTTCTTTCTTCTATTTCTCCCTTTCTGATAAAGGGTTGTTCATGGAAATAAGACCGTGTCCTATGATTATAGAGGGCTGTTGGTTTGGGGAATGATTTGGAAAAGGTGGTAGTGATTGGAGGAAGCAAAAACTCATTCCATGTGGCTGAATGTCTCTGTGATGTACAAAGCACCCACCTTTTCTCAAAGCCTGGCTTAACTCTTTCTTTCTGAGCATCAGCTCCTGGATCACTTCCACCAGGGTCAAAAGTGACCATTAGGAGAAAAACACATGATGTTCCAATTCTTGTAATGTTTCAGTCGAATGCTGCATCCCTGCATGAATAACAGATAGTTGTGTGCATTGTATGGTGAGAAGGACAAAATGAAATTGATGTTTAAATATCTTATCATGCCATTGGTCACTTCCTTTGGGGTTTGCTTTGTATTTTCTTTCTTTGTTCTGCCCTAATCTATCCTTTTCCTTTCTGTGCATATCAATTTCCTTTGTAGTCACAAATTGGCTACTCAAAGTGGCCAGCACATCAATTATTACTCATCATTGTTTTCTTCAATATATCTAGTAATTTCCTGCTGGATTTACATGTTCCCATATAAACTAATCACTGGTGAAGAGCAATTGTGTTTGATAGTTGAAATACCTCCCTTTGGGATAGGGTATAAAATTGAATTTCCCTATTTTATGGAGAGTATGAGGTGATAGGAAAAAATGAGAAATTTGATTTATTTAAATAAAAGAAGAAATTAATGTTCAATCAATAACTACAGCATCTGCTGTAGAGATTTTATTGAATTAGTCCATTTTGTGTATAATATGTTTTATACCTAAGAAATAAATTAGATCCAGGAACCAGGGGCTCATACCTAAAATCATAGCAACTTAGGAAGTTGAGATCTGAGGATCAGAGGCAGCTAAGACAGCAAAGTTCATGAGATTCTTATCTTCAATTAATCACCAAAACACCAGAAGTAGAGATGTAATCTAAGTGGCAATGCCATCCTTAAATAAAGAAAGCTAAGGGACAGCACCCAGACTCTGAGTTCAAGCCCCAGAACTAGCGTGCGTGCACACACACACACACACACACACACACACACACACACACACACACTAGGAATTAATGACAGTTTTATGAAAGTCACTGTACAATTCTAGGTAAAATTTATCATATTCAATCTATTATACATAGTTTCTTTTTTTTTGGTTGTGAAGTATGATTATCAAGACTGGTGGCACACTCCTGTAATCCCCGCTACACAGGAGACAGAGCAGGTGAACCTTCAATTCAAGGCCAGTCCTTACAAAGTTAGCAAGACCGTATCTTAGGAATAAAATTCAAACAAAAGGGCTAAAGTTGTAGCTGAAGTATAGAGAGATTGCTTAGAATGTATAAGGTCCTGTACCCAAGCAACAATATTGCACACACACACACACACACACACACACACCACAAACCAGAAGGGATAAATAAATATGACCTAAGTATGGAAATAATTATGAAACACCTTACAGTACATAATTTAGTAACCAAAGATAGAAAAATATAAAATAAAAAGTTTTCTAAGTGGTATGATAGAAATTTGGATCTTATATAGTGTAGAAAATCACAATGTGGCAGTTTTACTGTCAGTATTGGCTTAGCCCAGCAAATGATTCATTCATTTGTAGAAGAAGGATACAGTAAGGGCAGCTCAGGGAAATCTTTGCTACCAAGTCAAGTGTCAATCACAGGCTCTTGTGTATGTCTATTTGCAGTCTCATTCTCTTTGCTGATCATTCTTCAAAGAGTAAAATGCCTTTTAATATAAAGTGAGAGGAGTGATATGAAGCTGTAGGGTGTCTCATACTGTGCCAGTAGTTTATACAAAAAACAAAAGAGGGGAAAATGTAGACCTGGACACTTTCAGTTAAAGCTAAAGAGCTATAGTTATATTTCAATACCATTTACAAAAAGGCAATTTTATGAGATGGAAATGGAAAGACAAATCTTCCCATGGTTGCAATTAAATAGAAATAGATAAACCATGTCACCATATGGAGAATGCAAATGCGAATCTGGGAGTACACATTACATGCATAATGCAATGTGAAACCAGTACAGCATCTCGCCTCCCAGTTTTGGATCTAAAACACAAGCTGAGACTTGGCTAAATACACTGTGTATATCAAGTAGATTTCATTGGAAGTGGTGACTTGCCTTCATCTGCAAAAAGAATTTTCCAAATACCCTGTAAAACATAAGTGAAAATGATTAATCTACTTGATCCAGCTGATTTGCATACATAATTTGAAGTTGCATGAACTACTCTTTTTCCTGATTAAAAAAAATTGTGTGATCCAAATTAAAACAATTTATCTGTCTTTCACTGCTTTCATTTTTAATTCACTTGGAGCTTTAACATGCTTACTGTTTCTATTTAGTAAAGCATTACTTCCTACCTTAAGGAAGCATGTTTAACTGAGCTGTAGAACATTCAGTCCTATGGATGTTAGCATTGACTTCATCATTAAAACCAATGTCTGCTATCATTCACTACTTAATTTGACATCAATTGTGATAATATGATTCAAAAACACATTTAGGAAAGGTGAGTGAGTAAAATCATAATAATGAATATGCATATGCAAAACTAAAACCAGGTAAATTGAGGGAATGGGCAGGATTGAGAGAAATGTGGTTGAAAGATCAGACTGACATTGATCAAGATGCATTGTACATATAAACTGCTATGTTGAATAGAAATCCCTTTGCACAACTACTTAAAGATAATAATAAGTTAAAGGAAAAATAATAAAAAGACAATCTTTTGTACCTGCATCGCTAGGTATTAACAGACAAGTGAAAAATGTAAAATAGTGCTGAGAATTTTAAAAACAGAACACATAACCAATATAACTTAGGAAATGACAGATTGCAACAGCCGTCCTCAACCATACAAGTGTTTCAGGCATCCACTTAGTGATTTATATATAATTTTACTCTACACTGTCTGTAGTCTGTTACTCATAGTTTCATATTTATTTTTACTTATCTGGGTAAACTATTTGCTTTTTATTTGCTACATGATATTTTTTTCTTTTCCATCACAGCAAAGCCTCATTGGGTTCAACTTATAAAAGATGTGGAAATCGCTGTGGAGGACAATCTTTACTGGGAATGTCGTGCAAGTGGAAAGCCCAAGCCCTCCTACAGGTGGTTGAAAAATGGAGAAGCCCTAGTACTAGAGGTAAGGGGATGTGTTGTGTCAGCCCAGGTTCTCTCTACGTGCTTTGCGTTGAGTGAATGATCTGTCCTGTTCCTAATACAAAGGTAAACTGCTGCTTGAACCATTTACTGCATTTGCATCCGAGACATGGTATGGGTGGAAATAATATAAAAAGCAATTCTAATGAGTTTTTTTTTAAATACAACAATTCATTGGGTCAAAGTGATTTTGTTAAGTTGCCTTATCAAACAACAAATTGGGTCTAGGTGGTTCTGTTAAGTTGATCTGGAAAAACAACATATTTTTCAAACAAATGTTTTGGTTTTTTATTGGCACTAGAGAAAGCTTTAATCAAATATTTGACAACTTCATATGCCATCTGGAAAATAAATGTATCTATCCATTAGTTACATTATTATCTCAATACCTGTTTTTTTTATCACTTTCCATCTTGACTACATAATTTTCCCATGTCAGTTTATGTTTATGTTTTGTTTTAGATTTCTATGCTTAGCCATTGATTGATACTTGCTAAATCCTAGGTAACTATGTACTTCTCATAACAGTTAATGTACTGAATTTATAATGTTTTCAGCTTATATGATTAAAAAACCAGTTGTAGTGCCAAGTTGTCCACTTGACAAGATGTAATCAGCCTTATAGTACATTTCTTTTTTTAGTACATTTCTTAATGTCTAAAAATTTAAGCCTAAGTGAAAACTGAAATCGCTTTCATATTTTTCCTCTTGCTTTTTTTGTATTGTATTTTACTCAAATACTTTGGGACTTGATGTTTATTTATATTTCCAAAGTGTCTTTCATATTTCAAAGAAGGAAAAGGTTAAATTTGAGGGCAGACTGCAGAATCCACTGAGGAACATGTAAAAGTCTGGGTCTGATGGAAGTAAGAGTCAGCAGTGTTCATTTTTTTCTTCTAAAATTTTGTTGGCATGTAGGAGAGAATACAAATAGAAAATGGTGCCCTTACAATATCAAACCTCAACGTGACTGATTCCGGCATGTTCCAGTGCATAGCAGAAAACAAACATGGTCTTGTCTATTCCAGTGCTGAGCTCAAAGTTGTTGGTAAGACTATTTTTTTCTCTCCTCATGTCATATATATACATATGTGTGTGTATGTATATGTATATATATAATCTTTAAGTAGTTGTGCTAAGAAGTTGCTATTTAACAAAGTTTATGAATACTATGCACCTTGATCAATGTCACCTCATTCAACATTCTCACCTGTTGTTTCCTTACCTACTCCTTTCCTCTTTCTTTCTAATTCTATAGGCTGTATGTTGAACTCTTGACTGGATTTCTTAAAACCTCAGTTGTTTCAAAAAATCAAAATACATACTTCTCATTTTAGATCGTTAGATTCAACATGATTAGTCAGGGTTTCTCATCAAGACATACATTTTCACAATTTCTAGGGAAAAGCAACAGTAATTGCCAGAACTGAGACCCAGAGATTGAAATAAATCACCAGAAAGGAAATCATGTTGGCATAACAAGTCCTTACCCATCTCCAGGACTGGGAACTAAGAGAATAACAATGGTCATGTCGACTTAAGAAAATAATCAATGAGGATGTTTTCTATTGCTGATCCTCAAAAGCAAATACCAAATTTTAATCAGTAATATTGAGCATATTGGAGTTTTAAATAACCAAGTTTCTGCTACTTGAGTTATTTTCTTCCTAACACTTTATATACAGGAAATGAGGGGAAATGTTGTCTCATGTTTAGAGCAGTTTTCCTGAAGGACACTGGAGTTGCAAATAAATGAAAGTCCACAGTACAAGAGAGTCAGGAGGACAGAGAAGAACAGGAAGAGAAAATTGACATAAGAGGGGAAAGACAGGGAGGGAAAGAAAGAAGGAGGAAAGGAGAAGAAGGAAGGAAGGAAGGGAGAGAGGGAGGGAGGGAGGGAGGGAAGGTGGGAGGGAGGGAAGGTGGGAGGGAGGAAGGAAAGAAGGAAATGAAGGACGGGAGGAAGGGAGGGAGGAAGGAAATGAGTAAGGGAGGAAGGAAAAGGAAGGAAGGAAGGAAGGAAATGTTATTTTTATGAATTCATATAATTAAGATAGACAAGTTGTTTTTCAGTATGACTTGATCCATGGCTCAAATATCAGCTTCCATATGGTATCAGGTTCCATATGGTGCTTCCCAAGATAACTGGGTTTATTATCACAGTTAATGCTGTGGGAGTAGGGATGACTTTCTCAGTTGCTCAAATGGGAACACAGTCCTGAATGTCACCTCTCCCATGTCGTTACCCATCATTGACTCATCATGTGACCAGAAAGGTACTAAGCTCTCGTTTGTTTAGCCTAGTAGTTTTCAACTGAAGACTGTTTTGCTCTCAGGTTATATTTGGAAATGTCTGGAGGTATTTTTGTTTGTTATAACTAAGGACTAAGAAAGGATGAGGATGCTTGTATGATGGGAGTAGAAGCTACTGAAGATCCTGTAGTGTGCAAGATAGCATCTTAGAACAAAGAATTATCCATCCTATAGTAAAGAACTATCCATCCTATAGTTAAAGAATCATGGTTTAATAAAATGGGTCTCATTCCTACTATCTAAAGGTTAGAAATAGCTTCTGTGTAAGAGAAAGACTAGCTCTTGTTATCCATGACTGAGAGGTAGGATATTATAAGAAAAGGAAGTGGGGATTCACACAAAATTTAAGCTGAAACAAATTGTACTCTTCTAATAAATTAACATAAGAAGCCCACAGGTTTATTTACCTATCCGGGGACACATTTCTACTCTATGTAATATGTAGTCTTGTGGGAAAAATATCAAAGATATAATAACATCTATTCAAATATTAACAGGTTTGCATTGTAGTAAAAATTACTTCTCCAAGATCTTGATTTGTATGGCAAACTCTAGCTAACCTGTGTCTCATCGTTATTTGGAAAGTTACCTATTATAATTCTCTGTAAGATGTACACCTGTCTGAACAATAAATGATAACTATGGGTATTTTCAATAAGACAGAGTAGTAGATATTTGGGGAAATGTACAAAGTTCTTAATTTTTTTCTACATGTGCAATAAATGGAAACATGATTCTCTGGTTAACATATTATTTCATTCAGTGGACACGTTATTTCATACCCTCAATGCATACATGTTACATAAGGATCGGCATCTGATACATGACTAGGAATATCACATCTTACACATGAGAGTATTTGTTTCACATTTTAACATGTACTGTAATATCCATTTTTATCTTTGTCTAGGTTAGAAGGGAAGTTTAACTATATCATGACTTTTATATTAGCACTTAATGAATTTGCATGAGTGAGAATATTGTCTCAATATTGAACCTTTATCCTACAACTCTTTAGGAGCCTTTGCCAAGTGCCCTTGCCTGACCTGTGCTTTAGAAGTTGACCAAAAGACCTATCCTATCCCGGTCTTTATGTTGCTTCTTAAAACTGCAGTATAAAATGATTTCCTTTAATAAACTCATGATCAAACTGCTTTAAATCTTTACAGTAAACATTAACAATTCCTATACAAAGTAATTATTTCAAGATTTAAAACTTGACCCCAAGCGCAATAGCACAAACTACTATTTCAGCATTGAAATTGTGTGCATGACCCACAGTGAATCAAATAAATCAAGCGTGAACATTTCCCTTGTCAAGCACAATTAAAAGAAATAGTATGCATTTGACTATTCAAGTGCAGGAAACTTTTTTTTAATCATCGAATTCTCCTTCAACTAGAATTCTCATCCTTTTCATTTTTGCTTCCTTTTCAGCCTCTGCTCCTGACTTTTCAAGAAACCCAATGAAGAAGTTGGTTCAGGTACAGGTGGGCAGCCTGGTGATCTTGGATTGTAAACCCAGAGCTTCCCCCAGGGCTCTCTCTTCCTGGAAGAAAGGAGACGCGATGGTACAGGAGCAGGAAAGGTATTCCATCATCCAAGAAGGGCTTTACTTTCTTCTCACATTAACTAAGGGTTGAAGAAGGTTTCCAGTATGAAATGCAACACTGTAATATCTCAGTGGAATGGAATGTGCTTTAAGAATCAAACCAGTAGTCATTCTATCTGTAATATTCATGTTAGTAAAAGGATTTTGAAGTCTGTAAATAGAGATATATCTACCCAGCTTCTCCCCTCTTAGAATGCTTTCTTAGAGAACTTTCTTCACCAGTCCTCTGGGAAGAGTCAGCCATAGTGAAAAAGGAATGAGAGACCCAGATGAAAGACACCATCCTAAGACAATGAAAAGAAAGAAAGTGATAACATGAGAAAATATGTCAAGAAAGTTGAACATTGTTACCCTGCACTGGAAAGGTTTATCAGTATTGGTACGTAGTTTAAACAAAAGCTTTCTTGTTATTATAATCATGTTGAAATGAAGGCACAGACAGGAATTTAGTATAGATTTTTAGCATAGATTTTTTTTCCAGATGTGAAACAATACAAGCCTATTACCCGTAGCCCTTAGGATAGGATGATCATGACTTTCAGGCCAGCCTAGGATATGAAGCAAGTTTTGGGTCCTCATGGGTTAAATGGAGAGAATCTGTCTCAAAATACAACAAAGGAAGCACAGATTCTGCATCCACACTGCTAGTGCTAAAATATTCCTTCTGCATTTTATTCACTTAGTGAAGTGACCTCATCTTTCTTGGCCACATTTCTATATTAATGGAGATGATGACAGTTTATGTACATTCTTGAGAAGGTAGTTATATAATGAAATAGATAAATATTCATTAAGTACCCTGATCAGTACCTAACGGGGAGTAATCATGTGTTTTGAGTACAATTATCATTTGCCAAATACTTATTTCCTGCTAGATATTATGCTAAGAGCTTTTGATAGCAGAGTAACATTAAAAGGTCCATCTGTTTACCCAGGACACCTGTGGTTGTATTAAATTAAATGGAAAAAGGTAAATGTAAAGGTTGATGATTAGTCACCTTTCAGACAGAGGGAAAACTCTGGATTATCTAGATGGGCTTTAAGTACTCACTCAGCTCCGCCCTTAAAACAGGAAGAGGATGCTGAGGATTGACCAGAGCAATGAAATCATCAATCAAGCAGCAAGAGAGATGCAAGCATGAAAGACATTGATGTGTACTTCTAGGCTTGCAAATGATGTACCACCGGCAAAGGGAATGTACATCGGTCCCATAACCTCTCAGAACAAGGTTCGGCCAACAGTGTAGAAGAGCACAAATGTGTCTGGAGACCCTCCTACCCAGGAAGGCATCTTTACGAATACTTTGATTTTAGTCCAGTGAGGTGCATGATGGACTTCTCACCTCTAGACCCGTAAGAGAACAAATTTACTGAGTTCAGGATATTACAGTTGTGAGAAGTATTACAGAAGTAATAGGAAAAAAAAACACAATTCTATCCAAACCACCTCCTTTAGCAATCTTCATAACACAGATGTTGAGGGCTTATGTGACTGTTCTCAATTCACAATTTCAGGATATGAATTCATATCTCTTTGACTCTTTCAAATCAACACTAAGATACCCAGGTGTTGGTGGCTAATGCTTGTCATCCTAGCTACTCAGGAGGCTGAGATCTGAGGATCGCAGTTCAAAGCCAGCCTAGGCAGGAAAGTCTGTGAGACTCTTATCTTCAATAAACTACCAGAAAACTGGAAGTGGCACTGTGACTCCAGTGGTAGAGTGCAAGCCTTGAGCTAAATAGCTGAGAGACAATGCCCAGGCTCAGAGTTCAAGCCCCACAACCAACAAAACAAAAAACAAATCAACACTAACTTTTCAAGCTACAGGAGCCCAGGATCCTAGAGATCTGAATCTTTGAAGTCACCGAGTCACAGTTATTACTTGGAGAAATGAGCAGAAAAAAAATCAAATAATAGAACTGTAGGCCAAGTTATGTAGATTAACTTTTCAAAATCACAGTTGGGTTTTAAACAACCAGGTTGAATAGCTTTCTGATTACAGGCCCAGAAGTATTTTCACATGCATTAGTTAGACCTAAACAATCTTTAGTTTCTCCATTATTTGATTAGTGACACCTTTATTCACAGACACATAAAAGAGGATGACGATGCAGAATTCTCCACTGAGTAGTTAAACACAATCTGCCAATGATAGGCCACTCAGGATAGATTTCTGGAACAGAAAGTTCATTAGTGACAGTAATATTTTGTAAACCAATTTGAACAAGTATAGATTTGGGATACACAGTGTTTTATTTTGAGTCTGCTAGAAGTTGCATCCTCCCATGTCACTACTGCCCTCATTGTATTACTTTATTTTAAATTAGTTTGGTTGCATAAATTAATTAGTGATTATTTCCTAAAGATCTCCAGATTTTATGCATTAATAAACCCACTTATCTTAAAAGTAGTACATATACTATATGGAAGAAGTTTTTAATCTTTATTTTTGAAATGGACAAATGATTAAGGGAATTAGCTATGGACCACACAAGAAGGGATATACTCCCAAATTAACAGCAGTGGCACCAAATAAAAACTACAAGTCTCATAATCAAAACAGGGACTTCTGTCCACTAATATATTGATGTCATTTGATTACATAATACCTCTAAGTCTAGTTTTCTTGTGTCTTGAGTAGAGACATTGCTTCTCTATCTTACTTACCTGTTGTAACATTTGCCATAGTGCCTCATGTTTGTAGATAAGCTGATCAGAAGAATTGAGATTATGCTACAAGGGAAAATATGGAACTTAGAGTGGCTGAATTCGTAGATGTTCTTTGTTTGTTTGTGAGGTATATGTGTTTGGTCTTTTGAAAGATAGATATCAAGGCTAGCTTGCCCCTGTCAGGGTGATAGGCCAGAGTTATAGGGTGCCAACTCAGTTCTGAACAAATGAACCAAGATGACTGCCTGAATTTTAATATCTCTAGGCAACTGCAAGTAGGCAGATAGACATAAGGACTTCCCCAACTTTTAATGAACTTCCCAGAAGTCCCAGATAACATTTTCCCTTATATATTACTATTGAAAGATTAGTTCCCTGGCTATGCTTTCTACCAAAACAGTCTACTTAGTGTAGATTTTTATTTACTTCCTCAATGGGAACATGTCCTGTGAAAACTTGAGTGTCCCAGTATCAGGACACTTGAGCAGTGTCCCCAGGTCATAAAACTTACTTCTCTGACACTTACAGGTATGTTGGATTCCCACACCGGCTATACATTTCTAATAGACCCCGTAGAGTTAATAAGGAAGTTTTTAGATGTGAATACAGATGTTGAGAAAAGGAAACAAATAAGGCCCGAAGTGCATCTTGCAGTACTCTTTCAAAGAGCTATGGTTTAGATTTTTGGCTTTAACTTTTTGGACAGCAAAAACACTGAAGAGCCACATCCCTGGTGCTCGGGGAGAGGACTGCTAGAAGCAATTATGGAACAAGTTGTGGATTTGAATCTTCTCCAAGTTCATGGGAAATCAGAGCAGGTTACAGCCATCACTTGGCAATGCAAATCCTGTATCTTTCCCTCTTGACTTGGTCTGCCAGCGTCAGCCAAATCTGCAAAACACATTAAATGGTAGATTTACTGTGGTGGTTTGGTTGTAAACTGCTTGAACTTATAAATGCAGATTCAGATCTCACTGGGGAAAGCAAATGAATTTATTGATGCATTTGAAAATAAGAAGGAAGATAAGATTTTGCTGCAGTATATATAAGATTTGAAATTTACTTGATTGTTTAGTTCATTCATCATTTTGGTTAGGGTATTTGGATTTGTTAGTGACTAAGTAACTTCTGCTAAATAGGAAGGCTTTCTCCAGCATAATATAGGGGCTCTTGATAACAAGTAAATTCACTTAATACTGAGAATTGAACCCATGGCTTCATGCATACTGGGTAAGTGCTTTATCTTCGCCCACAGATATATTTGGATTAAGCAAGTATTCCACCGTTCAGTGAGGCCAAAAAAGCCCCAAAGATTAAATGTTTTAAGGAATTGCATAAAAATGGTAAATATATGTACTGTGTAAATCATACAATACATTTGAATAATTACAATCTACCTGTTTTGTAAGTTTTTATATCAGCATTGGAATTATAAATCAGCCATGATAATTGGATCTGAGTCAGTGAGACAGCTAAATTACTGAATTGTTTTGAAGAAATGAAGGTTGTTTCTTTCAAGAATGGAGAGCATTTTTCAGGCAAGGTTACAAATGGATTGCTGCCCAACAGAGACTGTGGGAAAGCTGCTATTCATAGATAACAGTGTTTTTAAGTGCAAATACTGATTCTTTAGCTCTTAGAATTGTTGGTTTTTGTTCATTTTAAAATACTTTGAATACCTGCTATGTACCAGGTACTCAGGTAATTGTCTGTCCTATTGCTTTTCATAATATACAGGACGTATATGACTGGAAAACTCAGTTAACAAGGTACAGGATATTCGAGGATTTTATGAGAAGGCTCCATCTCCCAATTAGGGATCTGAGCAATCTTTCTAGGGAATAGAAATTCTATAGCAAAACTTGAAAGCTGCCAGAGGTTGATTAACAAGAGGTGCTGCAGGCAGAAGAAGCAGTATGAGCAAAGTACAGCAGCAAGACATGAAAAGGGTATTGTCTTAGTCTGTTCATACTACTGTAACAAAATGCCTTAGGCTAAGTTGTTTATAAATCATAGAAATTTGTTGCAGAGTGCCAGTGGGTTCCATATTCAATTGAGGTTCATGCTGCCATCCATAAATGGTACCTGCTTACCACATTCTTCTATGGTAGAAGGGTCAATGCAGCTCTGTCAAGCTCTTTTATAAAGGTACTCATCTCACCCATAAAAGTGGTACCCACAGGACTGAATCTCTTCCCCAAAGCCTATTCCACTTACTACCAGCCCAATGGGGAAAAGATTTCAATAGGTATTTTGGATAGATATATTCAGACTATGGCAAGTATCTGAGTAACTGATTGTTTAG